ATAAAATAGGGTTTAATAAACCTACAGTTATTCAAAGTTCAGAACATTAGAATTCTAGATATTAAGAAATTTGAGGTAACAGAGCACTTGGTTCCTTTTCTGAAGTTTATGAACTTAAGAGAAAAAACCTTGTGCTACTAAATTAGGAACAGCCAAATTATTTTTATCTCATCATCAGCTGTGTTCTAAAAATGCACAGCAATGACCAAGATTTTTATATCAAAACATCAGAGAAAGCTTACATGCACCTATTGTACCATTCTTGTCCAATACAAAGCATTATTTTTCTGGTTTAAGTGAGAAAAGCAAATCTGTAAAGGCAGTATCACTCCTAAGTGAAGGTATGTTATGTTATGTTAATATAAACTGCAATCCCTACAATGAAGAGGTGAATTAATGACTGCAGCAGACAGCATATGGCCGTAATTTGCATTGAGTAACTCTTTTGTAATGTTGTAATATCCCTGTCATATTCATTATCAATACTGACAACATGTTTCTTTGGAAAAATGCTTTGTGAAAATTAAGCAGACAGTGTTGTGACTGCAACTCAAGTCTTCCATAATGAGAAAAAAACTTGAAATACTGCAACTCAGACTATGTGGAAAGGACACCACATCAAAGCCAAACTAATAAGTCCATGAGTACACAAGCATTTTTATGCTACATGCTCAGAAACGAACAGAATCAATCTTCCTTAACATATGTCCTTAATTTGAACTGAAAAACTAAGGTCACATGATGTTACGTGCTTATCATTGATCTGTGTCTAAGCTTGTATTAAAAAATTTAGCAACCATTTCCACACTGCAGAGATCAGCACAGAAAACCCCTGGCTGTTCTGATAAGACTGCTTTCCACCTTCTCTGTGAGCACAAATTGAAGACTAAAAAACAAACCAAACAAAAAAATGTTAAAGGGCAACTAAGCTTGCTGGAAAGCAGAAGCATGCAGCTGAGTACAAGAGTCACAACAATTCTTCCTTTAGTTATTTAAGCTTTCTAGTAACTGCAGACAGTTGCAACTTGGGGAACATATCTATCTGAAGCTCCCTATCTGCTGAATCTTCAAAATTCAAAGGCGATTTCTGAGGAAAATTGAGTTTTGGTGTTTTTTGTTTTTTGTTTTTTTTTCTAGTAAGCAGGAAAGGGTGCTTTTTTTTTGAAAACAAACAACAAAAAACCCAAACCCAACAAAAAAATCCCACCCTGGCTTAAGGGATGAAAATCACTCTCTCATTCAAACAAATTATTTCTTGGACATTTAAGATGCACACACACAATCTTTTGCAGGAAGGACTGCAAGTCTACCTTAAAGAGGATGGTAATTTATCCACTACTTCATTTAACAGAAAATGCTGTTGCTTGAGCTACTTTGCTAGTGAAAGGAAAGGATAGTCAACAGCCTCTGATGGCCCATATGGAATCTTGTGGAACCAAACTGGAAAAATGTGTAGGTCAATAATGTATGTTAACATTCAAGAGCTGGTGCACCAAGTATCATGCACTAAGGTTTCATGGCATAAGGACGTGATTTTCTGAACTTCAGTAATGACTGTCTTTGTGTGACTCTATTTTTTTTTTTTTAACAACAAGAAGGTCATTATTATTGCAAATACTAAGTCTCAACTGTTCAAACAGCAGCTAGAAGCTGATTTGTTATTAAAATAAACAGAAAGTCTAAGTTGGAAGAAATACAATAATTTCATGTTGTTATTCAGGCTCCTAAATGTTGAAAATTTGAAATAGTTGTAAATATTGTGTAATTCTTACTTCTAAGTAGTCAGTCCTGGGTGCAGTTATATAATGTACAAAAAGAAACATTTTCTTTAGCTTCTGGCTGAATGATGTTTCTACATGCATATGCCATTACAGAAATAGAATACTTCACCTTGTAAAGGCACAATCTAGAAACAGCAAACTAAACATAGTTGCTCTACTTCAGTACTGTACTAACCAGAGATTGTAAAAATTCACACTACGTGATTTTAACTGTCTCTGGAACACAAACATACAATATACATATTTAGGAAAGGCAGCATTGTAAAATTTAATTCCATCAAATGCTATATGCATACACAGTTAGGTAGGAATTTCAGCAAATAGACAAAGGTATAAACACTAGTGTTAGAGGAATGTATTCCATGGTATGTCTTACATAAAAAATGAGAGGTATATGCATTGCAGTATATAATTATATATATATTTTGTGTATAATTCTATTTCAAATTGCCTGAAGGACAGCTACTGCAACTGCCTGCAAGTATTACTATTATTTTTTTTTTTTTACACGCCAAGAAATAATGCACTAAAATATAACGAGAAACAGCACACAGAAAATCAAAATGAAAATTATGCTCCTTCCACCCTCCATCCACAACTTACACACTTTTTCTTCTTTCTCCAACTTCTTCAAGTGCACTAGGAGGTTACTTTCTGCTGCTCGAAGTAAATTTTCAGGGATCTCCTAATGGGAATACAAATAGGCATTCTCTATTTGTTCAAATATCTCCCAATTATTTTTTCAATATATGGAACTTGTAGTTTATTAATATAGATTTTTCTCTTCTGAATTGCTATGTTGAGCACTCAGTTATATAATGACAACAAACCGAAATGAGTAAATCAATTTTACAGCAGTTAAACTGGTAGCCTAATAACACACTTCTGTTTGCTTTGCTCATGCTTTGCATTATCCATCTGTATTATGCAAAGGCTGGCCAATGCTAAGAAACCTGTGCTCTTCTAAACTTGGTCTGCACCAGGTTGTCAGTGTAGCTGTGTATTTTTAAAGACAAATTTAAAGATGCATTTGTCCACTGATACTTTCACTTCTATTCCATGACAATATTTGCATGGGTTTAAATATCCTTATACAACTTCAGAAGAACAGAATGTCTCTTAACATTTCAAATGCTCATTAGGTAAAACCCCAAAACATTTCTCAACATCATCATCTTCAGCTCTATCATCTTAAAAGTAAAGCCTCCTTTCTGAAAATTAAAAAGTTCTCCAAATAATGAGTCTGGCAGGAAAATTTGCTAGAAAACTCAGTAATTTTTGAATCTTAAAAAAACACTTTGAAAGATTTCCATTTCTACACATCTGCACCCTCCTGCAAACTGGTAAGACCAGGAACTAGAAGTTTTAACCAATCTTTCAGAAAACTCCAAAAACACCTTAACAATTAACAGTCATCTCTTACTTTTCACTTAGAACCAAGCACTAAAACTTTATTTTTGCTTGGTCCTATGAAACTGTGATTAGGACCATCTTGATAATGAAATAAGAGTTTGTAAGAATAATCTGGGCCCCATGCCAATAAAGTGGTTAAACAATATAATTTAAATGCACAGTCATATATGAATTCCAAACAAGCAGAAATATTTTCTATCTTTTAAAAAGCCACCATGGTCTTCACTCAAATACTTAAACTGTTACATACCACTTTATGAGCATAACTTCAATTTTTTTTTTTAGTTTCGTCTAAAAACTTCTAATCAACAATTACCTTATACACTATCTTTACAAGTTCTGAGGATGTATATGATTTTCCAACATTCTTCTGGAAAACATTCAGAATTTGCTGTTCACGTGCAATTCGGTGAGAAATGTAACCCTGGATTCTAGTATTTGCATCACGTACTACTGGGCCGTGACCTACATCAAAAGACACATAACAGACCACTATTACTTATATTTGCAATTAAGTATGTTATTGAATAACTGAATCATTCTTATGTAAACTCTGGTAGACTTAAAAGTCATAAGAAGGGAGCAGCACCTGTACATACCACCCTGTCAGAGTACCCTTTTTTTTTTTGGCATATAAATACGCAAAAATTAAGTTTGGATGTCTGCATCACAGTCTTCAATGGACATATATTAAGATGGAAAGGAAAAATTAGGATCTGAAAAAACGTGAGCGTGGAAAGGGAACACTTCAAATGGTATAAGGAAAGCAAGGGAAGATTAGACTATAAAAAAAAAAAAAATGGAAGGGAGTTCAGGAGAAGAGTTCACTGCTGAAGAGATTTTGTGTTACCTCTGCCTGTACCACTCTCCCTAAAGGATATTGATACTGATGATTTTAACTGATCCTGGTCTTTGAACAGTAGTGGTGAGGCAAAGGACTCATGTACTACTGTGCTGCTGGGGGCTATCTAGCGAACACAAGGGCTAGAGAAGTAACATTTTAATTACAACAGATAAATTTCCCAGGACAGATCTTCAAAACTGACTCACACACTGTACTTTATTCCCTTAAACATGTACTTTCGTAAGTCTGATCAAAAAAACTAGTAGAACACAACTCAGTGAACCAGCTGGAATGTGTCAGGGCAGGAATAAGCAATGCACAAGGAACGTTATATGTGGATCATTTTATGTATGGCTGGTTAATAAACAAAATGTGTTTTTACTGTGGCAGATCAGAAATGTTCAAGTTACTGAAAGGTCTTTCATTCAAACTAGAAAAAGGCTTAATTGGTAAAGAACTAATCTTTGTGGAAAAATCAAATACTGCCTCATGATACGCTAAAAACAATAGATTAAATATTTTTCAGACATTGAAAGTTACATGCACAGAAATTAATGTTTTACCTATGGAGAAATTTAGTTGCATGAATATTTGTCACATACTTTTAGCAAGATTTTCTATTTCTTTGCCTGTATACCTCACCTGAAGTAGCAGCACCAAATTCCGGCTTTGCCAGTATAACTCCAAGTAATTTATAAAATTGATAGAACAGAAACTACTGTAAAGAAACATACCTTTCTTTTAGAAGTTACCTGCTATCATCCAAATCAGTTTCTTCTGAAGCTGACAATTTAAAAAAAAACATATTCTTTACTTGTATTTTTGGGCTAACTGACTACATGGGGTTTTAGTTTTAAGGTTTTAAAATTACAGCTTATATTTCCTGAGAACAGGTAGTGTATAGAAAAACAGCAACTCATTTTTCATGGTTTGAATATCCATGAAATGAAGGGTCAGAGGAATCTCTTCTTCACAAGTCAAAATATTTATGCATATATTCACTTATACACTCACTTCAGCAGTTCTGAAATGACAAAATATACACTGAAGCTTAATTTGTGTAAAGGTAGTATTATAAATAAAAATATGCAACATTTGAATAGAAAACTGTAATCTCATATGCACATATATTTAATGATTTCAAAGATATTTAATTTGAAGCTATTGTTACTTACAATGTAAATTACAAACATGACAGTATCTCTAGTCAATATGTTACCACTTATAAAAACAGAAGTTTAAATTTAGAAAAAACACATCAAGATATACAGAGCAGAGACTAGAAAGAGACTATAATGGTAACTGTCCATTCTTTTGCATCCTCTAATGACAGAAGTTACATTATTCAAAATTAAGGCCTGAACATGGAATCACAAGACAGTCTTAAAACCAGTCCCTGCTCTTCTAAGTGCATGTCAGTACCTGGAATGGAACCCACATTTTCCAAAGTTAAAAGAATTTCACATCCATTACAGCAAATGTGTATGCATATACATACACTAAAATAATGTCAGAAAGCTTACAACTAAATCCAGATGTGGATCTTTTCCATCCAGAATTAACAGCTACACAGTTAACTTCACCAATAAATATCTGCATAAATGTAAAATGTTCCTGAGCATGTGAAAGAGACGTCAAAATCGACCATCTTCCCAGTAATTCAGACTTTGTATCCAGCAGCTTCTTATTATTTCAGAATTCTGTAGAGCCCATATGATCAGAAACAGTAAGTTTTTATTCTCATAACACCCTATGAAGTAATACAGGCTCTCTTACTTTACTGTAAATTAAAGCACAAAGGATGAATTTGAAGAAAAGAATCAGCTCATGAAATTTCACCCAGATTTCCTAACTCCAGTATGTTTTGTACCTGTATTTTCAAGCAACATCATTTATTATTACAGGATGGGGAGCCCTCTACTGACTAAAAAGCTCTTTTCTGGTCCAAAGAATTCTCATCAACTATCGGCTGTAAATAGACTATCACGAGCATTATGCCTGAATTCATTTCCACATTAAAAAACTTGGAAGGGGAAGGCAAAATTCAGCTACTCACAGGTAGCCAGCAGTCAGCTTGTTACAGAAATTCATGCTCTCCTACATTTAACTCTGAGGCTGCAATGTGAATGCTAAAGCATGTACAGAAAAAGTTCAAGAATTATGAAGACCTAAAACTGCAATAAAGTCTAAGTACTGAACTTATCCAGAATATGTTGGTAATGCAAACTACCTTCTAGTTACCATGTTACTGTAGTTCATACCAGTAATTTAAACAATTTTTCTGATGGTGCAATAGCTATCTTTTACACAAATGCACATACATTTTGTGCTGCATGGATAAAAAAAAGGAAGTTAGTTCCAAACTATCTCAGTACATCACTGAAAATGTGTAATATCCCACTGGCTTTCTTACTGCAAGTACAGCATGAACATACTTACAACAGTGTAGCAAAAAGCTACAAATAAATACACAAATATTTAACCTTGGCCAATGTATAATCTAGATAAATAATGACTAAGGAGAGAGTGAAATACAACAGATAAAATTTAATTTGGCATGTATAGAGTTATTATTAATTTTACTAGCAGTAAAGTAAATTACTGTGAGCAAGTCACTATTTCTGTCAGCTTCCACATCCATGAAACATCTATAATGATATTTTTCTTAAATAGCATTTTTATGCTTAGATCCTAAAGCACTTAAAGAACACCTACTTCAAGAAGTGTATTTTAAGAATGAACACAAAAGAGATTTGCTTACATAGGCTAAACACAGATGGTTAATGGAGGAAGACAGAACTAAGCATGTAGACACAGTCACTCAGAATGACAACTGGAAGAAGATGGAACAGAAAAAGTCAGAAGAAATCCCGAGATGTAGCCCTGAAAAACCAAATGAGTAGCTTAAACTTTAGTTACATAATGATTTCTTAAAATCCAGTCTTGCCAAACAGACATGTGGTTTATATGAAAAGTAAATGCATTCCCAAGGTTTGGGGAAGATAGAGGAAAAAAACAAAAGCAAAGTCACAGAACAAATGAATCGGTGACATTTTTAGAACGTGGTGTTTGGCCTCTTGGCTCTTTTTCAAATTTAAGCTAAGTCATTAAAATAAGACAACCATTTGACAGTTCTGCAGCTTTCCAAGATAAATTTGTGATTAATCCGTGTTGCAAAAAACAGACATCTCTCTCCAAAAACATTCCTAAGTAGCTCGCATTGACTGTATGGGGATGCAAATGACCAAAACAACAACTATTATTTTTTCTGCCAGGGTACATTAAAGCATATAGATAGAGTAGTATCAGAAACCCAAATTTGCTGAATGACTACAACAGTGATTCTGAACTCTGTGTGCTCTGGGCACAGAAGCACAAGATTCACCCTCAAATGGAGAAATCTTGGGAAGGAAAGATATGCATCACAGAAAAATTCTCAAGTCTTGCAAACCACCATGCCACAAAGTCTTCTTGGACATATATTAAGTAGTGAACTTGAATTGTTACATTAGTAATGGTGTTTGCTTACAGTAAGAGTTCTCAGATTCTGAGAGGCTGTAGTTAAAAAATACATAGTAAACCAGAGCAGTTATAAGTAGAACCGCTTACCAGGATATATTAAATCTACTTTCATTTGTAACAACCTCTCCAAAGTTTTCATGTAGTCATGCAGGTCTTCAATTACTGTTGTTCCTTCCCCTAAAATGCAGTCACCAGAAAATATAGCATTTTCTTCTTCTAGATGTAAAGCCATATGATCATCAGTGTGTCCAGGTGTATATAAAACTCTGTTTAAAAAACAACAAAAAGTGTTAGCTTTTCATACAGCATGTATGCTTCATTTTCAGAAGCTAGAAACAAATAATAAAATCGTGCACTTAGAAAGTAGCTCACAAACAGAAAAAAAATAGACCAAAAAAGGCAGAAATGTCAATGTAAACAGTGACTGCTTTGTCTAATCCCAGTCTATTTTGCTACACCATGTAGAGAATACATCTCAAACCTACTTTTACTTGTGTGACACATAACAGAAGTGAATTAAGGGAGCTGGCTAGCCATGTAGAATTTGTGTTATAAAGGGCTTTACTCTGAAGCTTTAAAAAAGAAAAACTGGCATGTCATTTGCAGATTGAAATGTGTGAAACTCTTGACAAACACCTTGCATTTAGCAAAATGGTAAGGATGATGGTGCCAATTCTTTTAGAAATTAACTATAAACTGCTGGATCCAATGCAGTTAAAGTTCTGTCTCCCAAAATTTATTTTTCCCTGAAAGCCCCATGACAGAGTGGAGCTGTCAAATACAACAAGTAATCTTCTAGCTGTTCTATGTGCAGGTCATTAAACATCAGTGGTAAGGATTTAGGACCTCACAGCTAGAATAAGTACTGCATTAGAATGAATCAAAAGGTAAATCGGCAGCTGATATGAGCTTCTGAGGAGCGGTACTGTAGTGTCCCTTCACTGTAACTTTTAAAAGGCAGAAGGCTTCATGATGAAGTTGATTCAAAGCAAAAGTAACACAACTCAGACCTACATCACTGCTGAAATTCATCAGAATTGTCTTATTAATGGTAGATGCATCAAAGCAATGATCAGGAACTGACAAATTTGGTGTCAAGCACACGGTACAGGCCAACAGTGTACATGCTAAGCAATACCCAACCACATTAGTAGAGGGCTGGGAGGCCAGAAGCACAGCACCACCTGATGTAATGACTTCCAGCTTTTACTGAATACTGAGTCCACCAGAAAGCAGGTGAGCCAACACCCTACAGAGGCAACATAAAAATCAAGTTCATTGGTTGCTTCATCATGTCTTGGTAGGAAGTGGCATCCTCCAGCTCCTGATGAAACTTAACCACTAATATGGAAAAAAACAAAGGAAAAAGAACCCAACACCACCTGACACACCTTGAAAACCTGAAGGTGGTTAACCAAAATTTACAATGCAGTTATTGGTTATTTTGGAGCCAGTGGTGCATCTAATCATATCCTTAAAATGCTTACTGAATTAACAAGGTGGGAATACCTGCTTTCAACCAAGCATAAAGTTTGGTCGCACTACCCCAAACCTCAAGATGTGCCACGTCTGTCTTACTTGGATTCAAATTTAACAAGTTGTTTTTGATCTCTAAATCGATTTTGTCCCAACATGCCACTAAGGCTAGTGATAGATCTGCACTATTCAATATAATACGCTCTATGTTGTTGCTTAGGTGCTTGTTTGTTTGGTTTGTTTACTTTATTTTCACACTAACAAAGGAAAATGCTTTTGGTCACATACATCCTTTGTATATTTTTTCTTCCAATCAGCCAACTGGTATATGCTACAAGTGGAATATAATTCACTTATAAATTGAGGAAAACAAGCAAGATTTGTCCTTAGAAGAGTAATGCCTTGTTAATGAAAGAAGTCTAGTAACAGAATGGTCCAATCTTTTCAGTGTGTGTGTTTGTGTGAGGCAGAGTGGCTTTCTACTTCACATTCATTCAAGCTAACAAGACAGGCAACATGCTTTCTGGGAAGAAGCCTTCCTGAATTGGCACCCTGCAAGAACCTGACAGATTAAATGTTTAAGATGTAACATTTTACATATGTTTTAGTATCATTTTGGGAAATATTTTAAAACTAAAAAGAAAGGCATGCCAAATAATCCATCCAGACTACGATAAACTTCCCAAATGTATCAATTTTAATAATAATTACTCATCTAAGAGTGATGAGAAAGTAAGTAAAATCCTATTTAATTTTCCTGGAGAGAATACTTTTAAAGGAAATATTCTTTATTTGTCTGCTAAAGAAAAACTAAAGGCTAATTCCTGATAATCCTCATTCATAAAAACAATTTCTTCGTATAAACATACCCTGCTAATTCATGATAGGAAGTCTACATGCCTAAATGTAGAAAAGACTAGATGTATGGCTTGACAATCATTAGAAGTTAGGATACATATATATGTTAGAATTCTGAAGAAAAACAGTGATCCAGAAAACTTGCAGAAATTGGTGTTTACCTGAGTGTGGCTCCTTCTGTCTGCACCACATCTCCCTCTTTAAGATAAAAATATTTATGTCCTCCTCTTATATTTTCTTCACGGTGAGGGACACGAGGAAGCTTACTGATGCGATATTCTGAGTCTATTTAAAAAAAAAGCAAAGAAAATTATCTGTCGCTAACAAAGCTTAATTATTATACAGTATGAATACGAAACTTGAAACAAGAAATTCGGTACAGCAATTTTGTTTACAAAGTGTATTTATTCCAGAGCCACAAACACTGACCAGTGAAAGCCACTGAATCTGAACACTGTACTCTGGACAAGCAGCAATTCTGAAGATGAAAAAGCACAAATAATAAAGAAATGTCAATAATTACTATAGTTTACAAATCTTGACCCATCAAGAGCCAAAACCCACAATTTTCTATGACAACGCATTTCTGTGCTCACATTCTACATTATGATTCACAGAAGCACCATTCAACATTTGCCTAACACTGGATGGAGGCTTTGATATGCAGCTTCCCTCAGTGTCTGCCATCCACACCTGTACATGAACTATGAATGCCTTAGTTGGAACAGCTACATAGAGCAACCCAGAAAGTTATTTATATCCTTTGCTAGCCTTTACAACCATGTTCATGGGTTGACAAGATCAAAAACCTCACAAAGGCATCAACACTGTTTTAACTAATGCCTGTGCTTCTTTGCAGACAAACACTTGGCAACTTCACAAACTCTGATGAAGCCTGTGACAAAGCTTGTGACAAAGCCCAAGAAACTAAGAACTGCCACGTTATCCATTCTGCTTATTCTCCTGCCAGATACTAAAGCAGAAACCTCTCTGCTTATCAACACTAAGTAGATATTTTTAGATCAGAATTTACCTGCAGAGTGCCCTACCTGCTTTCCTCTCTTGATCTGAGGCCTATGAATTTGTCAGCAATTACTAATGGTCTGCTGTAAGGAATCTCAAAGTTGTGCACGGTTCTTTCTCAGAGAGTATGTTATTTTTTTTCACACAGCAAAAATAGTGGTCAATTTGTCATTACTGTCAATACAGAAAGGAATGAGTATCCAGTTTTTCTCTTATCTCTTAATACCATGCAAACTGCTGATGTTAAATTAGGGTCTCATTATTTACATGTAAGAAAAATTCACTATAAAAGTATGCATAAAAATTGAAGAAAAACTGCCACTACAGTATTCAGATGATCTACTGCTCTTATTCTATACACTGCAGCAGTATCATGAAATTACATATAGTTTATATGGAGATTCTAGAAGAATAAACTGTCTGATTTGCACAGAAGCACTCCATAAAAGTTTTCTTCTTTACCATATATCTACCGTTTTCAACAATACTTGAAATCTCTGGCCTACCATTAGGGATGTTTTCACAGATATCAGATATTCCACCAACGTGATCATAATGCCAGTGTGTCACTAAAATTTCTTGAATTGAGATGTTGAACTCTGACAGTGCCTGCTTCAAACAGCCAATATATTCAGGAGTATTCGGCTGCCCAGTGTCAATAAGGACTCTTCTACACACGGACAAAAGAAAGAGAAAAAAACCCAAACAGTGAGATAGTTCCTTGTGCTCATGTCACAATGTTACATTACATAGCAATGTGGTAATCAAGATGCCTCCGTATTCCACACACCCTCCCTGACATTCCTCCGCACCAGTGACACAGCAATTTACAAAGGGGGGTGAAATAAGTAATAAATAAACTTAGACCACACATTTCCAGCTCCAGGACAGCCGCAGGAGCCACCGTTTAGGACGGCCTGGAAGGCCCGAGGCGAGGCACCTATCCGCTCCCTCACGGCACTCCCTCGCCCGGCCGCGGGTCCACACCCCACCCGCCCAAACCACCTCCTAGAACCGGTCACGGAGACTTAGCGCTGTAATATTTGTTTTCCTCTCCTTTTTAACCTAATTAAGAGATTTCAGAACAGCCGGAGGCAGCGCACAGGGCTCAAGCGGGTCGGGGCACAAGGGGATCCGGCGGCCACCCGGTCTGCTTCCCCTTTCCCCCCCCGGCCCCGAACAGGGTCGTTACCTGGAGCCGGTGCCCACCAGGTAGGTGTTGGTGCCCTGCAGAGTCATGGGTCCCGGGTTGCAGCCCAGCACCCGCACCACCCGCGACGAGAGCCGCTCGATGCGCGGCAGCAGCGAAACCATAACTGCAGGGGCACTCAACAAATACACCTTCCTCCTTCCCCGCCGCCCCACTCCCGGCTCCGCTTACACCAACACCGAGGGCGGGAAGACGGAAGCCGCTATTCCCCCTGCTCCGCCTCTCGGCGCCGGGCGCGGGGCCTTCCGCCCGGTTGTGAGACGGTGTTTCCCGGACGCTGCCGGGGCAGGGCGGCAGCGGTTTTCGGTTAAAAGCAGCCGCCAGGAACACCTCAAACATTGTGGTAATTCAGTGGAATAAAGGCGATACTCTTCTTTGGCTGGTCGGTGCCTCGCTGCTGCTCTGTGAGAGGCAGGTCTGGGCTCTGCTGGCCTCTAAAGCTGCAGGAATTTGTTGTAGCGACAAGCTGCATCTTCTGCATATTTTGAGAACATGCCTGCTTGACAGCATATATAGGAGTTATATATGCTTCTGTGTGTCATATAAGAGCTATCTAGGTTTCGGCATTTTAAATTAAAATGGGGAGGTGCTGGAGAGTGTTCCAGTGAAAGGACATTAAAGTGGTGAAGGGACTGGATATCTCTCATGTGATGAAAGGCTGAGAGAGCTGGGATTGTCCAGCCTGGAGAAGAGAAGGCTCAGGAGGGATCTCATCGATGTATGTAATGCCTGAAGGGATGATGCATAAAAGATGGAGTCAAGTTGTCACAGGACCATTGTCTCTGGTCTTCTCACAGGGCCCAGTGACAAGACCAGAAGCAGTGGGCACAATCCGAAACACAGGAGGTTCTCTCTGAACGTCAGGAAACACTTTTTCACTGTGAGGGTGACTGAGCACTGGCACAGGTTCTCCAAGGAGGTTATGGAATCTCCATCCTTGGTGATACTGAAAACCTGTCTGGACATGGTCCTGGTAACTGGTTCTAGGTGGCCCTGCTTGAGCAGAAGGGCCCCTTCTAACCTCAAACATTCTGTGACTTTGTGAAATTTTGTCAATGTCATCCAAATAGTAATACTGTGTTTGCAAACAGCATTCATTCTAGAGTCTGCGAGGTGCTGAAATTCACCTTTTTAGCTTTGCAATGTCCCCTCTGAAACGCCTGATAAATTGCTTTTCAACTGGCATTGTTAGAGAAATTAGAGCAGACTTGTTCTCTCCTTAAAGTACCTGCAAATGAAGCATAAAGATAATTTAACCTGAAATCAGAGCAGATAATATTCGTATGAGCAACTTTACCAATATTAGAATTTCAAATATTATCTCATTGGTTTATACCTATATCAGATCCTAATCCTAGATATTACCTGTAACAAATAAATGTAAATTTTTAAGGTGATCATAGCAATACAAAGTACAAAAAAGTGTTTGGTGATAGCAAATTTTTGTTCAAATGTTTTTTCTTTATATGAAAACAGAGTTGCAACCCTTATATGCCATCTGGGGCCATTCCTAGGATTTGCCTGGTCAAACAACAGAATCCAACTGCCTTCTGAAGGGGCAGAAATTCCTAAACGATCTTGATAGACAAACTTCCAAATGACTTGTTAGAAAAACAACTCAGAGTACAGCATGTAACTGAAAAACAAAATTAGGTGGCTTCAACAGGACTTCGCATCTTCATGAAACTTTAAATTTTCTGGTCTGCTTAAATGCTAATGTGGGCAAGTAATACCAGTAGTACATGCTGGGAGAGGAGCTATTAAAGTCTTTGGCATACTAACAAAGGTCTGCATCTTGCCTTGCATGACAAACTCTAACACTACATCTCTTTTCTCCTTCCCATATTGCAGGTTCTCAATCTGCCACAGATCCACCTGATGTGTTTGGCTTCTTCAGCTACACAAACAGTGTTCATTACCTTACAGACACCCATTCAGCCATAGAGTGATGCATAAGAGGCCTGCTGGCAGTATGGGTTGCAGGCCTGTAGTATGCAGCAATTAAACAAGTCTACTCCTGGACACGGACTTCGACTGCAGCTGTTAGTTGCTAGGCATCACAAAAGCCATGAACAGAAATTCTGCTACAGTACAGGTAAGGTCCATGCCTATATTTAAGCCTCCGAGCCAATTTCTTTGATTTATCTGATAGGCCAAAATTTTACTTGAGTTATAAACCCATTACATTTATTTTTTTATTTACAAGCTCATCAAAGCATGAACTACAGATAACAGAAAGGATGTTTCAGGTCAAAGGAAAGAAGCCTTTTTGTGTGCAGGTGTGCTGCTGAAGTAAGCAACACCCCAATACACAGTATTTCAGTCTCTTCTCGTATAATTTTCCTGTATACTGTTTTATAAGAAACCGTGGCTAGACCTGAACTTACCTAATCATGAGGTGCAATATTATGCTGACTTTGTAGCATGTCTACACCAATTTGGTGGTACGTTCAACCCATTTGCAGTCTATAGGTAGAGTTTAGTTGCTATGTCACTAGAATAAGGTATTACCTAAGCAAAGGTTTCCTATTCTAAGAAAAGTGGTTTCCCATTTCTAAGAAATTCTAAGAAAATTTTGGAAGTTTAGAGATTTCTGAACTGATTTACATGAAGTTGTCAGGTCATTGATAACTCAGCAGCAGCAAGATGCCAGTTTTATATATATATAACATCACAAGATTTTTTTCCCTACATTAAAGCTGTTTAGGGAATTGTGGACTTGTTCTCCAGGGAATGCTTACTGCAACTGTCGCTGTCTGCTACTGAAAGAATAAATTTTCCAGCGTTAGGTAGGAGTTATGAATCTGTTTCGTCCGTAGGTGGCAGAAGTGGGTGCTTTTGAGTAGTGAAGTACAGGTTCTACGATCATCGTATCTTGCATAAGCTCATGGGTTTAAAAAACTGTTATTTCTCTTATAATATGGAGGTTAACAGGCATGTAGTAAATGTCTTGCTATTATACGCTGTAATGTAGTACAAGAAAATATGTGTGTATACCCTCAAGTTCTTTTGGTTCACTGGTTTATGTTGTTAAGACAAAAATTTGAGGGGAAAAATCATAGAATCATAGATATCCTGAGGCAGGGAATGTTAAAAAAAAAAACAACAAAAAACCACACACACACACAAAAAAAAAAACCAACCAAAAAACCTAAAGTGAGGTTTCTGGTTTTAGACAATGTGATATTTGGTGGAGAAGTGAATTTCTACAACTGTAAGAGACACAAAATGCAGTTTGGCATTTCTGAAAATCCCACAAGGTCACTGTTTGCATTTTTTAGCACCTTTGAGTACTGGCATTGGAGTAGTTAATGAAAAAGCAGATGAATCTATTACACTGAGTGGAAGCCATCAGTCAACACATTATTTCAGACCATACATTTTCTTCAGTAACTTCCATAAATACTGATGGCAGAAATATTCATTGACTGCAAAGCTTAAGTAGAAAAAGTAAAACACAGAAGGAGTCTTCAAAAATCCCAAAGTTTTTTAGCTTAGTGTTTCATCCTGTTTATTTCTATGCTAGTCCTAGTGAGTACCTTAGTTTCCAGTGTCTGGAATAAGTCAACTCTTCCAAAGATAAAATATACAATGTCCTGTTAATACTAATTAAAGCAGAGAAAAAAGGTCCTTCCTACCCTGTTTGGAAGCAAATAACAGGATCTGCACTGAATACCATAGGAGTTCTGTCACAATTTAGTGATGTGCTTTCTTTGGTGGCAAGTGTAACTAGAAAACAAATAATTAATCCAGACAGTAATTTAGCTCATGAACTGCCTGGTTTACACTCCAAGAATGTGCTACACAAAGCTTTTTTCTCTCTCTGTGTAACAGGGTTTTTGTAATTTTTTAATAACAACAATGGTCACAGCAGTAAGTTTGTGACTTGTCTGATTTAAGATGCCCTCCTTTAAAGGTGTAGGAACTTAGTGACTATTTGGGCAAATAGCTTGCAAAGCCTATTACAAATTTAAGAAAGCTGAGGTGGAACTATAAGAATTTAAAGTATATACCTAAGTATATAGTGTATTTATTGCTCTGCTGGTAAATTATGTATATTTTTATATTTCAGGCAGAACATATCTCAGATGACCAAAATTCTTCAAACATAAAGGAATGATAGATCAATAGTGACTTTTTGGGATTTGAAAGAGCCCTCTGTTGTAATGGAAGGCAGTTGCTTTTGAAATCTGCCCACATCCATGGAGAGGGGCAGTCTTGGTAAAAGCTGCAAAATGTAGATAGTCTAGTCCACAGTCAGTTAGCCAGTTTTGTCTTGTCTGCAGCTACTCTTGCAGTCTCATCCATCGAGTCAAGTGAGGATTGTGAAGAACCAGTGCCCCAGACCATTACAGCAGATTTTCTTCAAGTAGAACCATCAAGACAGGCATTTAAAGCAGGATGGGCATGATGAATCACTTTTGGTTTTCTTATCAAAAATTACATAGGTTTATGCTGGTATCAGACCTTCAATTTGCTGCAAAAACACACAGTAGCTCAGTCCAACATTGAAAGAAATACTGTCCACAAAAACTATATTCTGACAGAGTGCTTGCATTCATTTGATCATGTATAGGACAAAACAGGTGGTGTAATTGCTGAGCTGCTTATTCTCTGAAGTTATCTTATTGTGGAGCAATATACAAATACATTTTGAATTAGTGCAGTCATGATGCTCACAGCCATTATGAAGAGCTTGTTGGGCATGCATGCAGTGGGCCTGTTAGTTTTGAATCATCACTGAGATGATTCTGCACCAACAGAAAGGCCTCTGCTGCACTTATTCAGAAGGCTGTTATGGATAATACATTGCCTCGCTGATGTCTTAAGTTGTTTTCCCAGTGTGTTGTCTTGCAGGAATGAGCCATGTGCAATAGAACCAGGAATTATGCAGTACTCCTTTAGATTCAGACACTGTTTTTTTAAGTTTTGGAAAATTAATTTGATCTGTTCATTCTGTTCTTCAAGTGATCACATGAAAATAATGGTATTTCAAGCACTGCAAAAACTGCTTAGGTTTAGGATGTTTCTAACCTATAAGGGGGAAACAGGAAGGCAAAGCACTGATACTATTTCCTGTGAAGACACAGGTAGGATTGTATTTTCTGTCCCTGGGAGCTAGAAAAGCTGTAAGTGTCTCTGGCTGAGGGTATTATCCTGTGCAGCACAGTCATAGAGGCTGAATCACAGCACCTGCAGCTCTTTAAACATGCATAAAAATTGTATGTATGTATGTTGACTGCCCATAGCTCAGCTCGAGCAGACTCTTGCGAACTCCTGTGTTTTTACCAGAGGAGAACTATTTTAATCACATGTCCCTGGACACATGCATTTTCTTCATGTATCATTGCACTGAAAAGCTTTTTGTACATATTTTAAAGTGCATTGTACTACAGTTTTTAGTTATAGTCAAAGAGATTTTTTTTTCATAAATCTTTGATACATAAATGTGTGTGCAAATAAATAAATGTATATATATGTATAGAAATACACACATCTACAGTATATGTTCCTATAAATATCAATACATCTAGCAAACTAAGAGTCTAAATTTGAACATGTATACACATGTATAACCATACAGAGGGAAAGTGATACTCTTTGTTTGCTTGTTTTCTTTTATGGATAAAGCGTGAAATTAATTTGTTGTAGGAAATTTTATATTGAACTTAGTACTAAGTATAGAAAGGGACTTCTAAACTAAAGTTTTAGAATAGAATTTTTATAACATAGAAGAATGACTGTTCTTGACAGGTAGCAAATCATTAACTGTGTCATGTGGTTTTCATATAATTTTAGCTTCCGTTTGTGTTATGTCAGTAAGCCCTTTATCTTTTCTTGGAATACAAGTCTTGTAAAGGTATGAATATGAAACCTGCAAATATGCAAATCTATACTTTTTAAAAGTGAAAAATCTCTATCCATGGCCAATATTAAAGTAAGTGTGCATTTTGTGTAGCATTTTTCTACATATTGTGAGAACTGAAGGCCTTGTTAATCACATTTTATTGTTTCTGTTTTTTCACAAAATGATTCTGTAGAAGTATATTATTTTTTAGAATAGCTTTATATTTATGTTGGCTGGCAAACATGTTACTTTTCTTGCTCCTGATCTCGTATATTTAGTAAAACCAGGGACAATAACTGTGACTGATACAAGACATTCTCTCCTGTGGCACTTAATAGTCCCCCACCTGGTACATGAGGCCATGGTGCTCTTTGGAGTGCTATCATGCATAAAATATAGGGGATATTAAGGGCTGAGATCTTCAACAGAGATTTCATGTGCACCTGTGAGCAGGCGTTTGCTCTTGGGCTTGGTATTAAGATACTGAAGTTTGGGAATTCAGATTTGTGAGTCTCTGATAGACTTTTTTTTTTTTTAGGTTACCATAAGCAAAATATAAACCCTATGTTTTACCAGCCATTCCAAGGCTCTTTCAAGACTAGATCCCTTATTCAAGATAATTATGAGACTGTGAGCAAGCTGGCATGCTTTATAATGTATGGCTCCTTATTTATCTCAGCTTACCTGATGGCTTCATATGTGACCAAGACATCCAGACAGGTTTGCAGGTTGCTGGCATAGCAGAAGTTTGGGCAGTATGTGTGTCAGAAGTAGAAATCACCTGGCTCACAGCTACTCCTTATGCTGCTGTTTCAGAGGAATCTGCGCATAGCCTGTAAAACTTCCTTTCTTATTAGGGGTAATATGATAATGGGATAATTCCTCTTTGTGAAGTGATCAGATACAAAAGGATACAGAGGTTGTAAAAAGGGAGAAATCCAGTTACGCTGTTTATTAATTTCAGGTACAAAATTAGAGCCTACTCCTTGCCACTCAAATGCATACATCATTACTCATTACATGTGAACCTTGGTATATTGCCTACTTCATTAATTGCCTAACCAAAGAACATTCTGTTTGGATCCAGTTATTGAATTAACTTTTACAGCTGTTTTTCCTGCAACAGTCAAGTAATGAACCTGTTATATTTTTCTTTTATCTGTCCTAAAAAACATGCATAATGTTCTTGCCGCAAAAAAGGATACAAAAGTGGTACATCAAGCTGCAGAATGACATGATATTCTTACAGAGAGTAAATACAGTTTCCCTTAGAATTTCCTTGAATGCACCCCAGTAATAAACTCTTAAATTGAGTCTTACACAAGTTTTCAGATTATGAAATACTTGTAAACACAAAATTCAGTTTATGCTGGACTTTGCATCAAACTTACGTCCCCAGTGTTGACTGTGAATTGGATATAAATTGATGAAATTATTTGAAAGAGATTAATGGCATTTTGTTGCTGAGGCTAGGAAAGAACAGTAAAAGTATTCCAGCTATCCCAGCTATTAGATCGCCTGATCTTTCTGACCTTTTCTGGGCTAGGATATGAAACCTAAGGAGGAGACAGAACAAGAGGCTAGAAATATCTAGGGCCTAGATTTAAAAAAAAAATAAATGTTCAGACACTGAGTACCTTTTAAGGTTGTTATGTTCCTACTTGTTTTCCTTTGGAAATTAAAAGCTTAAGATCTCTTTTTTAGTACCTGGGTCACAGCACAGACTAGCCCAGTCAACACAAGCAATGAATAATCATTACCTTTTTTCATGGGATATTAACCAATTGTCTCATCTCATTCTTCTGTGGCAGTGTGCCTGAATTTGCAGAAATCTAAAGTCTGCCTCCACATGCCCTTCCCCTGCCCTGAGTTCCCTGGTGCAGCTGTTCCCATGTATTGTCTGCTGCTGTTTGGCACTGGTACAAGCCCAAACCCTGTGCTTTGGCATGTCCTGGATCCCATCCTTTGGGATTGTTGCCAGCATCTTTTTCCTAAGCTTTGCAAATGAAATAAGGGACTTTCTCATTTTAATGCTTATAGCTTTGCAGAGGTGGAAATGAATGAAACAGAGGATGGACTTCGTTACAGCTTTTGTTTCACCTGCCAAACACCATGGCTCTACAGAGGAAAGATGTGTAAGGTCCAAGAACCCTTGCAATACTGGGCAATATAAAGGTAGTTCTAACTGTGAATTGATTGTGTTTGTAGTGGGCTATGTGGTTAGGTCATTTCTGTCTAGCTACTACTCAGGTTGGGAGACATTTCCCAAAGAAGTGTAGACTGGTGCAGGTCTGGCTCTTTGCAAGCCTCTTTAACAGGAGAGCTGCAATCCTATTCAGAACTTTTGTGCTGCATATGGAAATAAAAAAGCAGAAATGATGAAACCACTAGACGGATGCACACAAATGCAGTAACGGGGTTGGAAATTACATAATGAAGTGTATGTTGACACAGTTGTGTATACTCAAGACATCAGTTTTCTCAGTGTTTTGTGCTGTGCACACTAAGGGAGAAGATCTCAGAAGTTAAGAAAGTTCTGGGAAGGAATCAATCTTTTTTTTTCCATAAACTGGCTTTAAAAACTAGTAGAAGTAAGCTTGTTTCTTAGTGTTTTGCAACTGTTAGGAATTATCTCAACAGCTGCTTCGTAAGTGGAGAGTCACTGTGGTTGAGAGAGTGGGTGACCTCAGCAAGTTCAGAGGTGCAGCTTCTCTTGTTCACTAATATCTTGGTACATTCTGCATTTTGTACTTTATTTAAATGTATGTGAGAATTGCTCTGTGATACATTAAAAGAAAATATTATAACTGCTGATCTTCCTTTTTATTTCTTCTTTTTAGGAACCAGTAATGAAGAATGACTACGTCAACTAAAAAGATAATTTACATGTAGCTTTTCCAGAATAGACCTGCCTCAGTGAAGTTAATTTAATATTGAAATCAAGAATACAGAAAAATGCAAGTCCCTTTGGCATAATAAAATGCATAACCCAATTTTCCTGTGTAGAAAGCACTATGAGCAGGTGGTATCAGGAAAAAGACTCTGTTGTAGGGAAGCATTTAGGTTAATTCTGACTGTCCTTTACATGATAACAAAGTAACAGTCTAATGCATGATGAAATTTACTAAGCAGAATTTTATTTTTTTACTTGGTGGAATTATAATTTATGTAGTTGATGTTGGAGTGGACTTCTGGGTAGCTAGTAAATATTTCTGTCAAGGACAATATTCTTGGAGTATATTGATACTGTGTTTTAGAGGTCTTTCATTATTAATAACTCAGATATTCAGTTATGAGTGGTTTAAAAATGACTGGGAATGTACTGATACTGGGAAGCTGAAATGGATTTTCCTAGTTCATCTCTTCCAGTGTGGAATTTTTATAAGGTAAGCAGATTTAAAAATCTATTTTAAAGTGAGTAATCGTGTTGCTTTAAGACAGTTTATTAAGAAATGCTTGATATGGCTTTAGGGACATAACAATTATTGCTCCATGTAAGAAAATGGATTTTTGTCT